TTTTATTTTATTTCATTTTAATCAGTTATTACATTTAAATATCCGTGTGGCTAGTGGCTCCTATACTGGACAGCGCACAACTAGACAGTTCAAGCAAGCATCAGGCCCTGGCCACTGGCCTCAGTACACAGATCTCTCACTGTGTCAACTGTCCCCAGCACCAAACACTATAAAACAGTCAGTTCTCACGGAGCTGACACAGGTAGCTTTCAAGTGGTGTTAGAGTGGCCTGGCACAGAGAAGCTGGTAAAACGCATGCACAAAAGGGATAATGAGGCACCGTTCTACAGAAATTGTGATGCGTTATGGGCCTCCGTCTGCACGGAAACCCATCAGAGGGCAGGTTCACCCCTCGGTGACCAGAGTTAATTGAAAATTTAAGACCAATCAAATCATCCAGAATTGAGATTTTTGGCAGCTTATGTGCTTCACTGTGAGATTCCTGCTGCTTTTCGCCTCCACCAACCCTACAAAAGGGAGGTTGCATGTTCCAATATCATCCACAACGGCAACAAGCTGTATGCAAGGGACAAACAAAACAGTGTTAACCCCGATCTTGGTTTTTTAAAAAGTGCACGTGGTCCCATTCCTGTCTAAGCCACCAGGGCCAACACTCTCTCCTCACTTTGTAATTTCCTGAAGAGTCAAATGAACATCTTCTCTATGAAAAATAATCATATCAAGTGTTACTCAAAAATCTATGGCCAAAATCTCATGGAAGAGGAATATTTTCATTCCCCTCTACATGATAACACAAGTTTTCTAACAAGAATGTTCTATTTGGTGTTAATGCCTATTTGTCTAACACCTTGCAGTTTTTAAGGCACAAGAGCTTTGATGCCCAAGAGATCTAGGTTTGAATTCTGCCCCTGTCACTTCCCAGCACTGCATCTTTAGAAAAGTTACTTAACCTCTCTGAGCATCCGTTTCGTCTTCTGCAAGAAGGAATGAGTGTACCCATATACCTCACTGGGTTACTGGGAGGATAAAATGACAGAAGAAGCTACAGAAAGATGAATGTTCATAGCAAACTAATCCCTAATAGCCCAAAACTGGAAATGACCCAGATGTCCATCCATAGGTGAACAGAAAACCACACTGTGATACATCCATACAATAGAATACTACTCAGCAATAAAATGGGAATGAACTACTAACACCAAATAACAGAAATGACTCTAAAATAAGCAAGTGGAGTGGAAAAAGGCAGACCAAAAACAACACATACCATATGATTCCATTTATAGAAAATTCTAGAAAATAAAATCAGGGACAGAAAGCAGATCACTGATTGTCTGGGGACACAGGGTTGGAAATAAGGAGGGATTACAAAGGAACATGAGGAGATTCTGCAGGTGATGGAAAGGTTCTGCATGTTGATGAGGTGACGGTTTCATAGTTCAAACACTTTAAATATGTGCAGTGCAGTGTACTTAAATTATACTTCAGCAAAACTGAAAAAATTAGGGGAAAAACAAGATCAGGAATATAATGCCCCATCACAGGACTTGGCACACTGTAGGCTTTCCACAATGTTAGCTCCATTCTGGAGCAATAACGAATGGTCTCATTAGAACTTTTGGAAAAGAACTTGAGAGGCTGCCAGGGGAAAAAGTCAGCGTGTGCAACATTTACTTCAAAGGTTTACTAGAACCCAACGATTTAGGACACGCTATTCGCAGCTAGAAAGCGTGAACAAGAAAGATGAACCGAAAGATGAACAGAAAAGACTAATTCTGACGAGATGGACGTCAAGAAGGAACACTTTTAGGTGGTGCAATTCTGGCAAGCAGTGAGTGGCGGGGCAGCCCTGTGCAGAAGGAAGGGAGAAGCTGGAAGGGAGGGTTCTGAGGGGCAGTAGGCAAGGCCAAAGGCTATGCACACGGTCCTCCAGGGGATGAGTGGGGAGGGTCTGCAAAGGGCCAGGCCAAGCTGAGGAAAGCCCTGAGCGCCAGCTGGAACCTCCCTTTCATTCATCCAGGGGAACCAGCCAAAGGGTTTGGCATGATCGGATTTGTGTTTTACGTAAACACGTCCTATCTAGAGGGCAACTTGGCAATTTATCAAGAGTCTTGACATTTATATGTTTCAACTCAGTAATTCCTGAGGAAATAATCAGAAATGTACACAAAGATTTATGTACAACATTGTTTATCACAACATTATTTATAATAGCCCAAAGCCTGAAATAACTTAAATGTCCAATAAAAAGGGACTGCTGAATAAATTATGGTACGCTGAGTGATTAAATGATATACAGCCATTAAATCATATTTTCGGAACATATGGAACGACAGGGTGCATGCCTCACTATACAATGCTAAGTTGCAAAAAAGCAGGATACAAAAATATGCATGGAGTATTCAACAAATATTTACTGATGATCAATAGCGCCAGGCACTGTCGTAAGCACTGAGGGTACAGCAGAGGATAAGACAGACACAACCCTGCACTCATTAGAAGGGCTTCTACCTTCTCATGAAGGAAGGCAGACAACAAACAAGGAAACAAATAATAATAAGCAAAATATATAGCACATTAGATGGTAAGAAGTGCCATGGAGAAAATCAAGAGGGGAAAGGGATGGGAGTCCGGGGGTAGGTAGAAATTTCAAATAGGTGGTCATGCAAGGTTTCACAGAGAAGGGGGTTAAGGGTTTGAGCCAAGGGTACATCTGGGAGGGCTTCCAGGCAGGGGGAGCAGGCAGTGCAAAAGCCCTGAGGAGGCCTGGGGAGTTGGAGAAACAGCAAGGCCAAAGTGGCAAAACACAGGACAAACAGTGGGAGAATGAGGGCAAAGGAAAGCTGGTGCCCTTTGGGGTGCAGGGGAGCCACAGCAGGGCTTTGAGCAGAGGAGTGACGAGATCTGTAGGGGGACCAGGGTGGAAGCAGGGAGACTAGTTAGGATTTTTCCAGTATTTTCCTAACATTTTATAATGGGCATATGTTCATTTTATAATCAGAAAACAAAAGGTAATTCAATCAAAGAAAGCACAATGCAGAAAACAAAGTGGGTACTATGACCGGAGCACAAGGCAGCAGAGAAACAAATAAGGAGGTTAGTGAAATAATTCAGATGAGCGATGTCGCAGTGGGAAAACACGGGGGTTTTGTGAGCAAAAATTACTCTTCTGAATAACAGAAGAAACAAAACCACAATGCAAAAAATATAAAAAAGAGAAAAAGAACCTCTCCATTATGTCAGTACCCTGACAATCAATATTTAACATCTTGGTATATTTCCTTCCAATCTTTTTTCTATATATTCTCTGGTTTTTCCTTAATCATTCTACAATGGCTAGAACACTGTAGTCTCTCAAATATTCACTGCTCAAGTAATGGATGACCAAATGCTCCAAATAATTTTGTTTGGATTTGTTCATGTTACATTAGCTATATTACAAGCATTTTCAGAAGTAGTTTTAATAGGCTTATGTGATGGAATGGAAATTGTAGGAGAGGAGAAGGCACAGTCACAGATGACAAAGGTGTCAAGTCTGACTGTTTAAGAGGATGGTGGTGACATTATTCATCAAGGGCGACAGCAGGAAGCAATCTGATGAGGAAGATGCTGGGTTCCATTTTGGGGACCTGGAGGAGACACCCAGCTGCGCATCTCTCTCAGGGCTCAAGGAGCAGTTGGAGCCTCAGCACGGAGGTGTCGCAGCAGGAACAGTCGAGCAGGAGTGGCAGTAATGCTAGCAGCCCTACTATGCACCAGACATGGTGCTAAGAGCTTCATGCATCTTCCCTCTTCTAATCTTCACCGCTGCCCTACGAGGCGGACGTTCATATGCTCATCTGATGGATGGGGACGCCACAGGTCTGCTGATTTGCTCAGCTACTCCACAGCAGAGCAGCATTCAAAACCACAAATATGATGGCTTTTCCCACTCTTTTCTATCAACAGAAGCGTAAAATATACCGAGAAACCCAGGGAGAAAGTGTCTTAAGATGCCTTAGCTATGTAGCGTCTGGTTTTTGCTCGAAACTTCCAAGGACTCCTCTAAAACAAAGAATGCTCCCTTCTTTCAAAAACATATTTTACAGGGGCTGGCCTGGTGGTGTAATGGTTAAGTTCTCTTGCTCTGCTTCGGCGGCCCAGGGTTCGCAGGTTCAGATCCTGGGAGCAGACCTATGCACCGCTCATCAAGCCATGCTGTGTCAGGCGTCCCATATAAAGTAGAGGAAGATGGGTGCAGATGTTAGCCCAGGCCAATCTTCCTCAGCAAAAAGAGGATTGGCAACAGATGTTAGCTCAGGGCTAATCTTCCTCACCAAAAAAAAAGAACATATTTTACATGTTTTCCAACTTACAATTATAGCCTGGTAAGGGTTTTTCCCCCACACATGTGAGTCTTCTCTCCCACTAGGTAAGAAGCTCGAGGAAACCAAAACAAGCCACACAACTTCCCCACAGCACCGGCCCAATACTCTTGCACACAGTCGGTGCTCAGCAAATGCTCTGGGATGACAAAACTAACTATCAGTCACCAGGGCCATTGGGACACTGGTAGTGGGAGGTGACCAGAACACCCTCAGGTGAGACAAAGCCAAGCCCAGACGGACAAGCACTCTTGAAGGACGGCGGACAACAGGCCGGTGAAGCTGGGTGGACGGGCAGATTAATCTGAGGAAATAAGGTAAATTTTCCTTTTCCACCTGGCTGGCTAGGAAACAGGTCTGTAAACTGACTAGCCCATGGGCCAAATTCAGTCCACCCACGTCTGCTATTTGGCTCACACGTGGTTTTAATTTGTTATCATTTTATTTGGTTGCTATCTTTTAAAATGTGAAAGGTTCCACATAAAAATCTGGATTTCTGTAAGCAGCCCCCACCCTTTCTAGTTCCCCCCACCCCACCGACCTCCCCAGTATGTTTTTGTCAGCCCCACCAGCACTGACGGGGCAGCCGCAGCTGAAGACTGTGCCCTGGCAGGGCTGTGGCGCGAGGCTGGGTCTGGGCCCCCTGTTACCAGGACACTGGCCGCCTGTACTCACCGGCGCTCAGCGTGGTGAACTCCAGGAAGCGGTACTCATAGGACACGTCGATCTTCGTTTCCACCTGAGGCCTCTTCAAAGTCGAATAGATATTTCCAGGCCGTTTGTCATCACGTTTCTCCAACTTGTTCAATCCACAACCCATCTCAGCAGCTGCCAGCGAAAAAAAGGAGCGGGGGTGGGGTGGTGAATTTTTTTCCTCTGAGATTTTGTTTTTAAACACCATAGAATAAAAGACCCCATAATTTCCCTGAAGAATACATAAAAGACCTCAGCCTTCATGAAATCTAGAGTATAATTTAATATATGAACACCAGAGGAACTGTGCCCAGTACCCAGGCTGGCTTCTCTTTCTGTAACAATACCATTACCAGCCATCCTGTGACTCTGAAATGACACCAAAAGCATACCAGTTTTATTTGATTTTTTCTCCTCCCTAATCTGAGGAAGATAATACCTCAGAGTGCCTCAGTTCCACTGTAATCTGTGTACATGATTAAAAAATGGGATCTAAAAAGCAATATGGTGTATCATGGTGTCAGCCCATCTGGAACAAAAAACAGGAGATATGTCACCTTCGCTGTGGTTGCTAAGAGAGAATAATAAGTTGTTGTTACAAGTTCCAAACCCCGAAGTCCTTTCTACCCTCAACAGTAATTATTTAGACAGGAATTTATATTCATAAAACATCTTCAAAATAGATGGTGGTATTTTTATGGGCCTTGTCTGCAAGTCCCCCTTTTATTCTTTTTCAGACCAAACCACAGGAATAACAGTATGCTTCCATGCACTTAGAGGGTCATTTTAGACCAAAATGAAAACGGCTGAATACTACTGGCAGGGCCAGAGAAACTGAAAGCAGAAATCCACGTTTATTAGAGCGAAGATCTGTGGCTACTTTGAAAAGAAAATGGAGAAATGTTTAAAAAATGTGCATATTAGGGGGGGCTGAGCTTCTAGTCTTCCCAGGGAATTAAAAACAATGAACGTTCTCTGTTTATTTAGGCAGAATGACATTCACGAAATGGCTTTTTATCCACTCCCCAGACTTCAGCGGAAGATATTTTCCTTTGGTGCATTGAGCACGACCAATCCTCCTCCCTCTCCGGGTACCAGTGCTGCCATCAGAACATATTTCACAAATATATTAACTGGCCGAGAATATCATAAACAGAAACGCGGTGACTGCTTCCTTTTAGAGATAAGAATTTCCTTTTGCTCAATCCATTCACTAGGTATCCAGCTTCCTATGGCAATTTGGCAAGCTCCAGAAAAACAAAATGAACCTCAAAAAAGCAGTGAGGGTGTGGAAGGGGTCAGAGGGTGGAAGAGGGTGGTCTAGTGACAGTCAGGCTATACTTCTCAGTAATTAAAAAAAGTCTGGAAGGATGGATGAGAACAGGAAGGCTTACTTATGCCTTAATAAGGGAACATTAGTGTCCAAAGGGCCAGAGCAGACATGATTTATGTGCAATCTGCATGAACTGATTACTTGTACGATACTCTGTAGTTCTGCAGATCTAATAGCTGATTTGTACAGAGGCTGTATATTTAACTGCTAAAAAGCAAGCCAGCTGGCATCTGCTGGGGCAAAGCAGAAGACAAGTGGACAGGAGGGGCCCCTAAGTGCTGGGAACAGGTAACTGTGGTGACATGAGCATTATTACCACTATAACAGAACTGGAAATAAGCCAGAGGCTCACCGATCACTCACTCGTCTACCTCTCTATAAAGCACTGAGTGTTCGTGGCCCTCCAGGAAAAAAACCTCTTCCTCAAAACTCCTCCCAATCTTGCTACCCTATGAGGTAAGTTCTAGCATTAGAGATTCACTCCTTTGAAATCCAAATCGCCCTATCTCAGCATCTCCTTTGAAACCACAAATATCTCCATGGGAAGGGTAACGAACTAAGCTCCTGGTAGCCACTAACACTTTAGTATGATTTAACTTCTTCTATAAAAGACAGGTTCCCTGGGGGGCTGACCTGGTGGCACAGTGGTTAAGTTCGTGCGCTCTGCTTCAGCCGCCCAGGGTTCACAGGTTCAGATCCTGGGCGTGGACCTGCACACTGCTCATCGAGCCATGCTGTGTGGGCGTCCCACATGCAAAATAGAGGACGATGGGCACAGATGTTAGCTCAACGACAATCTTCCTCAGCAAAAAGAGGAAGACTGGCAACAGATGTTAGCTCAGGGTCAATCTTTCTCACCAAAAGGAAAAAAAAAAGACAAGTTCCCTGACAGCAGGTAAAAAGGAGAAGATTACTAGGATGAATAAGGAAGACTCAGAAAAGGTTGGACGGGGGGTGGAGGTGTGCCAAGAAGCATTAGAAAAATTCTCAATTCACAACTTTGAGTTTAAGGTTTCAATCAGACTGTCCCAAATTTGAGTTCTCTGCCCAAGTTCACCCCAAACGGCACCCTGCTTGTCTCACAGGATATGATGAGGCTCTAGCAGATAATCCATGTGATCAGACACAGAAAAGACAAACAGTCTCAGCCAACAGCAAAACTGTAATATGAGTGAATCCTTGAGGTCTCAAACTTTAGGGATTCATTTCTTTGACGTGTGTGCAACCCTGGTTAAGCAACTGCTTTTAAAGCACAGCTGTCTCTGGGAAGGGAGACACACAAAGCAGTTGCTAGTCACCAAAACCTTAGTGTGAATTTTTTCCTCTTACTCTTTTGTTGAGGGCCCTACCTTGCTTGCTGCTGACACATCTGTGTTCCTTTTAGTTCCTTCTTGCATTCTTCTACCAACCCCCACCCCTTGTCAAAATAGGAAAGACTTTACATCACTCCAAAATATCTATTACAGTCCCCACTATGCTCTAACAAGTCAGAAAAATCTAGCTTACAAAAAGGAGGAAAAATAAGATATAACAGTGCCTTACATTATCGTAGAGTTTTGTAAACTTCAGTTTACTACGCAAGGTTCCCAGACCATGCTCACAATAGAATCCTGCAAGAGGCCTGGGGCACGGGGTGGATATGGGCCTCTAAGAGCAGTGAGAGGTGGGAGGCAGAGGGATGAGTGGAGGCAACAGCTTTGCTGGATGCAGGCAGACGATGCCTCGCCCTGGTGTGGCTGCACATTCCCTCTCGCAGACATTCAGGGAGTGTCTCAGTGGAAGCACGTCTCCCTCAGGGGTCCAGGTTTCTAGTAGAAACCAGCAGAAGGTAAATGGTAAGTGTGATGGTTTTTAAATGTGGCCCAAAAGTCCTTTGACACTCCTGCCATGGAGATGTGGGGTCTATGTTACCTCCCCTGAATCTGGGCTCCGTGACGGCTTGACCAATAGAATATGGCAGAAGGATACAGTGCCAGATTTTGGACCCCGGCCCTAAGTAACTGGGAGCATCCACTGCCTGACTCTTGAGACACCTGCTCTTGGAACCTGGCCACCACTCCATGAGGAAGCCCAACCAGCCCCAAAGAGAGGCCCATGTGGAGAGGAACTGACAGCCAGCACCAACTTGCCAGCCATCTTGCCGGTGAGCCATCTTGGAAGCCTCAGGCAAGCCACTGACACCATGCGGAGCAGGGACAAGCTGTTTCCACCAAGAGCTGCCAAAACTGCAGATTCTCGAGCGAAATACACTATTGTTGCTGTTTTAAGCCTCTAAGTTTTGGGGTGGTTTGTCAAGCAACAGGTAACTTATACCCCAAGTTGGCTCAAAATGTCCACAGCTTGCTGCCTCCTGGGTCGAGCACCAGTTGCCGCTGGCCTGCATTTAGGGGCCCGGTTTTAGCCGTTCACCCTTGGAAGGGCACTTGGGTTGTTTCCAGTTTGGGTTGATTATAAATGAAGTGGCTATAAACACTCACGCAGAGGTTTTTATGAGGACACAAGTTTTCATTTCTCTAGGTAACGCCTAGGAGTGGGATTGCTGGGTTGTATGGTGAGTGCAGGGTCCTGTTAATGAATAATGCTTCCCCTTACCCACTCGGGGTGGCCACATGCTGACCCCACGAGAGGCACCGTGGAAGGGGAGACCCTCTGAGAGAGCGACAGCTCAGCCCCTCCACCTCCTGCTCACTCTGGGGCATCAGCTCACTGGGTGGAAGCATGAGCGGCGGTGCTCTTCCCGGCTCTCTCCCCTTTTGTTGTTGTCTGTTTTCATAAAGGACACCTGCTAAAAACCACCCGTGTGTGATCGTCTGCCAGTACTTTTCTGTGATCCATCCAACCCCTACAGCTCTGCCCCGCCACATTCCTATAGTCACTCCACATTGACACCTAACGTAAATCAGGTCACTTATTTTATATGTGAGTTGATGACTGAATCAGCTTTGATTATTTGATAGTTGTACAGGAGGTTTTTTCCTTCTTTTTTTATCTTTGTCTTCCCAGAAGACATCCCACACCGACGTGTATGGGTCTCTCTAACATCGAGGTACCAAGAAAAACCACCCCAGAGGTCTTCAAAGGTAAAGGAAAGAGAGAGGTCTTTTCCATTCCTATGGTGAGACAGCAGGAAAAGAGCCAAAATATACTGACAGATCTCTAGCAGAAATCGGCTAAAAGTAATTAGGAATTGGATGCTAAGGAGGAAAATAAGGTTAATTACTGGGAGGTTCAGAGACCCAACTGCAAGGAGAGGACTTTAGACATTGCAAACGACCAGGAAGCAAAGATCCTTCAAATGGTGACATTCTGGAAAATCAATTCTCTCTGAATCAAACCTAGAATGGGGTGTGTCTTTGGGAGATGGTGGACCAGCTTCACGCAGACACTGTCAGCTCCAGAAGGAAGGGAATTTAGGTTCCAAATTCAGGTATTCATTCATTCAACACACATTTATTAAGGTCTGTTTTGAGTCAGGCCCTCAATTAGGAAATAAAAAATGGGAAGACCACACCCTGCCCTCGAGGAGATCACAGGTGAACAGAGGAGTAAGACAATGAACAGACACACACAGAGCAGGGAGGCTGGCTGTTCTACAAGTCTGGGCAGAGAGCAGGGCGTTCAGAGAAAACTGTTGTGATATGAAACAGAGCACATCACCATAGACTGTTCCAGAAAAAGCTGATCAGCAATGGGGCACAATGTCCTGTGTCATTTTAAATGTGGACATTTTTAAATGTTTATTTTAAAAGTACTTTTAATTTGTTTCTGAAATGCTTCTCAAGACGCCCATAAAAAACCCTGG